CAGCGCCCCCGGCCGCCGCGGGGAGCCCCTCGATCCTCGGCCTTGGCACCACCGCTCGGGTCCTTGGCTCCCCAAAGCACTGCGAGGGAAGGAGCGGCCTTTTTTTCCCCCGAGGATGGAGGTGGAGGGTGGGACGCAAACAAAACAAATATAAAACCTGGATTAAAAAAATAGAACGAAAAAAGCACATTCTGCAGAAAGCTCGTCCACGTTGCAGTGGTCCTGCGACGCGACACGTCGCAGCCGTCCTCGCAGCCCGAGTTCCCGGAGGGAAACTCCGGTACAAACTTCTCCGTCCCACCCCTGGCCCCGCTCCTCCGCGCTGTCACCCGCGAAAAAGGATCTCTCCTGGCATCGCTCTCCTGCCAAATGCTCGTATTAAAAGGCTTTAAACTGTGCAGGTTTTTCCTGCCTGGGAAGCCGAGCTCCCAGGAAGAAACCTTCCCATGCAATAAATGTCCAAGCCGATCTCTCTATGAACGCTTCTAAATTATAATGAAAAAATATAGCTCTTTTCGGCGCGCCCCCTCCCCCCGTGTGCACAGGCGCACACGCACGCACACACGCGGCTTCGGCCGCAGTAAATCTGCTGCTCTGTACTCCGAAAGCACGGCTTAAAAACAACCACTCCAAGGTTGTGTGCTCTGTGGGGGCTTTTTTGGTGCTGCTGCTGTTGGTGTTTTCCGCGCCACTGCGGCCTCCGCGAAAACTGCGAAATCTGCAACTCCGAGAATTTCTTTCTTTCTTTCTTTCTGTTTTTTTTTTTTTTAAAGCTTGCGAGAGAAAAAGCCTCCACACTCGCTTCAGCGCTGCATATCCTTGCCAAGTGGACTTGATTCCTCAAAAGCAAAATGGTACCAAACTTCTTGAAATTCCCCGTGCCATCATCAGAAAATCTGGTTTTAATTACCAAAACTAAAATAGCGGTGGTGCTAACTAGCAGGCGATCAAACCGCAATCAAACTTCAATCTCTGAGCAGTTAGCTATAAACTGTCAGCAATTGAAAAGTAAACCTGGTGCACACAAAGGCTCTGTTTAATTTTCTTGTTGTAATGGCTCTAAATGAGGACCCCATCACTATGCAGTTAAGCGGTGTTGCTTGTCCCCCTGAGGCGCTGATCAGTTCTTTTTAATGTGAGAAAACTGGCAGCTCGAAGCCCGTCAATGGAGCTCCCACAACAAAAGTCCTGAAAAGCTGAATGAATTGGGTTTGTAATTACTGCTTCCCTCTCCCCCCTTGCAGCTTATCTCTTATTCATTCAACATATATTATTGTCACCTAATCGCACACTCCCAACATTTTTTTTAGTATCTACGACTGCGGACATGTTTGTTGTAGAAATTAAGCAAAATAACCCTCCCTTCTCTCGCCCTCCCCAACAACAAAAATGTTGAAACGACAGTGTCAAGCGAGGCTGGCTGGCTTTAAAAACGCGAAGATTAAGCTTTCCTGCGATCTAAAGGTCAGCATTTTGAATACATCCTCGGAAATCTCGTATGCACCAAAGCATGCTTTAGATTTTAATATTTGAGTTAGATCAGGGTTTAAATAAGTGAAGTGTATCTAATCACGCCTATCAGTAATGGGCCTCTTTCTTTCAGTGGGACCTATATTATATACTACTTAAATTGCTGAGCTATCTACCTCCTATTCAAAAGCAGATATACAGTTCTGCTGCACGTTAGACAGGACGAATTAGTATTATGGGACAAAACACCGTTGCGGTGATCATCCGCAACCCTTGGTGTCTGACACAGGAGCATTAAGGTATCTCAAAGAATAAAATAGGTTTTCAGCCCAGAAATATCCGATGGCAAACGGCAGCCGCTCGCTGCCTCCCCGTCTGCCGGCTGAAACAGGGGCTGCGAGGAAGAGAGCGGCTCTCCCCAGGTCCCCCACCGCAAGAAGCTGTCGGTTGCAGAAATAAGTACAGCTATTACAACCAAATCTACTAACAGTCTAAATAATTAATTGAACCATTGCTCTTTGACCCTTGGAAAGTCCAGTAGGGACCCGTTTGTAGTAATAATACCCCCGAATGAGCCCTTGTCAAATATTCATTTAGTGGTTAATGTGAGCGATTTCCCCCTGGGACAGTCTGTAATACCAGCTTCCCAGCTTTGGCAAGAAACCCTGCTAATCTACCTCTCCAGTTCCGCAAAATATTTTAACACCCCAGTCCTTAAAACGCCGTAAAAAAAATCACAGGGGAAACTATAATCTTATCCATGGGTTCATTTCGGCTCTGGATAAGGTTAGTGAAACATTACACTAACCCTCTTGGACCGAGCATCACCTCCGCTTTAGAGTACACAACAATTCACAAGTGCGGGAATACACGGAGAACCCAAAAGGTCTTCAATAACCAAAAGAAAAACACAGGCACCAGCTCGGCTACACGTTTCAGCTGCAATAAACGACAGCCCAGGATAATAGCTTATGGTGTGAATGGGATTATTCAATGCGTTCAATTTAAAATTAGCAATGGACAATGGCGTTCTTCCAAGCAACACTTTAAAAAATAAAATCATTCGGCTGTACCTGTAAAATGCTCCGGGTTATCCTCTCTAAATAGATAAATATATAAATAGATACATGGATGGATGGATGGGTGGATGTAAGGAATCTGTCCAAGGGAGATCAAGTTTCAACAACATGTATTTTACATCATACTCCGCAATCTAAGCTTAAACAAATTGCCAATATAAAAAGTTACTGAAATCACTAAGCCTGAATGTGTGGCTTAGTGCCTTTTGTTTAATCGTACTATCTCGCCTTCTATATGAGAATTGTTAAAGGACCAGCTACCCCCCTCGAATATTTTAGTTAGCACTTCAAAAAGGGCCCAGGTTTTATTGCTGTTAATTGGCTAAGATTCGCTTTAAAAAATGGAATCGCAATATCGATTGGGCTTTTATTCCAAGTTCTCTTTTTTTCCAGCTAGGCAAGTGGGAGCGGGGATATGTGCTCCTTACCACGTGAATAATCCCTAGACGCGTTACAAACGCTGCACGGCTCTGAAAAAAATACTTTACTCTTTGCATTAATGAAAAAAAGAAGAAGAAAATGTTGGGAATCTGCAATAACTGTGATGCTGCCCAAGTCCCTCGACGGCACAGAAATAAAAGGGACAAAGGGAGCTAAACTACATAAACCGACAGAGAGCAAAACTCCACATACTCGTAGTCTGGCAATTTTAGTTTTCATCTGGACACCAGGCACCAAGCCTGGAGGCCAGAAGCGAACCTAGGAAATAGCACTACCAAAAAAAAGCCACGACCAACCAGGTAACTTTGTATGTGTGTGTGTGTGTGTGTGATTTTTTCACTTTCTCACTTCCTTCCTTCCTGAGTTAAAGTGCAATTCAGTTACCGAAACAAAAATACTAGAAAGGAAAACGGAGCAACACTTGCTCCCGGTGCGGAGACCCGCTCTGTGCCTCGCTCGAGCAAACCCTCAGCTCCTCTCCGCGCTACGCACCGCGCACCACAGACCGGCCCAGCCAGGGCACGGCTTCCACCGCGCTGCCCCCAATTTCACTGTCTTATTACTATCACCACTTGCCTCTCGCTTACCCACGTTACCCCAAAGAAACCCCAGCCCTGTCAGCAGCCGGGCTGCAGGGGGGAAACGGGCCTCCGCTCCGCACCGCTCCGCCGCCCCCCG